CCATCCATTCCATCCACCCATCCATCCATCCATCCATCCACTCATCTATCTCTCCCTCCACCTACCCACCCACCCACTCATCCATCCATCCATCCATCCAACAATCCACCCATCCATCCATCTATACCTCCACCTACCCACCCACCCATTCATCCACCCACCCATCCATCCCTCCATCAACCCACCCATCCACCTAGGCCCCTGACCCGATCCAGGGTCATCGACTACCGGCATCAGTTCCGTCCTGTCCCAGAACGGGGGTGGGGGGGGAAGGCAGTCCCCACAGGGGTGTTGGGATGGGGCCACCCATACCGCTCCTGGGCGCGGCCCTCTGCTTCCTTGTAGGCATCGCTAGTATGGTGGTGGCCTTCTTCGTGTCCACGTACTACAACGTCATTAACGCCTGGGGGTTCTGGTACATTTTCCATTCTTTCCAGGTGAGCGGTTGTCCAGACAAGACCAGGAGCGAGAAAGGGAGAAGACGTAGGGCTGCAGGCCTAGGGATGTGTGTGTGTATGTGTGTGTGTGTGTGTGTGTGTATGCCAGGTTTTGGGGGGAGCTTGCAAGTGCCAGGAGGGGCCGAGGGAAGCAGAGGTGCTCAAACCAAGAGAAGGGTGCCTAAATCGGGGAGCCATGGCCAATTTTGGTGGTGGTGGTGGTGGTGGTGGTCCTGGGGCTTGAACTCAGGGCCTAGGTGCTGTCCCTGAGCTCTTTCCCTCAAGGCTAGCCACTTGTGGTTTTCTGGTGGTTTATGGGAGATCAGAGTCTCATGGACTTTCCTGCCCGGGGCTGGCCTTGAATGGTGATCCTCTAGATCTCAGCCTCCTGAGTAGCTAGGATGACAGGTGTGAGCCACCAGCGCCCGGCATAGAGAGCTTCCTATTTACTGTATGGAGATCCTCAAGGCAGCTGACTTGCAAACACCACAGTTTCATTGAGCTCAGAGTGCCAAAAAGTTTCTTCAAGTTCTAGATCAGATGAGTGTTCTCTAGATCATCAATGGTTTGGCCTCTTGTGAGGCCGGCATTTGGTGCTGTACCATTTGGTCCAGTCTCATGACGAGAGACAGAGGGAGAGAGAAAATATTTAGGACACCTCCCATCTGGCTCATTCAACCTTCCTCTTCTCCTCCCCCCCCCATGACGGCTTGATCGCAAAGGACCCCCTGCCGTGGTCCGTGTGCCCACTGAATGCAAACCGCACAGGCTACGAGGAGGAGTGTGAGAAGGCCTCATCCACGCAGTATTTCTGGTACAGGAAAACCCTCAACATCTCGCCGTCCATCCAGGAGAACGGGGCCATGCAGTGGGAGCCCGCGCTGTGCCTCATCCTGGCCTGGCTGATGGTGTATCTGTGCATCCTGCGGGGGACCGAGACCACTGGCAAGGTGAGTTGAGGTGCATGAAGGGCCCTGGTCCCAGGGGTGTGTGTGGGGAGGGGACCCAATGTCTCTGCTCTCAGCCACAAGCCAGAAATGAACGGCACTGGGTGCCGGTGGCTCACGCCTGTCAGCCCTGCTACTCAGGAGGCTGAGATCTGAGGATCATGGTTCAAGGCCAGCCCGGGCAGGAAAGTCTCTTTCGCTCTCCAACAAACCGCTATGAAACTGGAAGTGGCGCTGTGGCTCAAATGGTAGAATGCCAGCCTTGAGCTGAGGAACTCAGGGACAGAGCCCTGGCCCTGGGTTCAAGTTCTGGGACTGACCAAGAAAAGAGTCTTCAAGACTCTTATCTCTGATGAACGGGCAAAAGCCAGAAGTGGAGGTGTGGCTCAAGTGGTAGAGCATAAGCAAGAGGAAGAGGCCCTGAGTTCAAGCCTCAGGACTTACCAGCCAGATTTCAGAAGAAGGAGACTCCCGGTAGAGATGTATGAGTGACATAACACAGAGACAGGAGTCCCAAGCTCTCTTCTGTGATTTGTTACCCTTTTTTTTTGGTTGGGCGTGGAGCTTGAACTCAGGGCCTGGGCGCTGTCCCTCAGCTCTTCAGCTCAAGGCTAGCGCTCTACCACTTGAGCCACAGCGCCACTTCTGGCTTTATGTGGTGCTGAGGAATGGAACCCAGGGCCTCATGCATGCAAGGCAAGCACTCTACCACTGAGCCACCTTCCCAGCCCCTTGTGACCCTTTTCTGAGCATACAGCCTAAACGAGCCAGTGCTCCTCAACACAAATCGTTTCTAAATACCTGTTGTAATTCTCCTTTTCAACTTGAGCATTCCTTGGTCTGCAGAGAATGAGAACATTCGCCAATCCGGCTTTGCAGAGCTTCTAGCCGGGGACAAACTAAGACACAAGAAAGGGACCCACTGTAATAACTGAAGTCCTTAAGTCCAAAGCACTCCTTGTGTAAGGCCCGACCTGCAAAAGCAGAATGCAGGAGGAAGCCAATGCCAGAGACATCATCAAATTAAATAAATTATGTATGAGAGTCCCTCTCCCCACTCCCCATATATATGAAGAAATCAGACCAGGGACGGATGGCTCACGCCTGTCATCCTAGCTCCTCAGGAGGCTGAGATCTGAGGATCGTAGTTAGAAGCTGGCCGGGCAGAATAGTCCTTGTGAGAATCTCAGCTGCAATAAACTACTCAGGCAAAGCCAGAAGTGGAGCTGTGGCTCAAGTGGTAGAGTGCTAGCCTTGAGCCAAGGAAGCTCAGGGACAGTGCGCAGGCCCTGAATTCAAGCCCCAGCAGTGGCAAGAAAGAAAAAGGAAGGAAGGAAGGGAGGGAGGGAGGGAGGGAGGGAGGGAGGAAGGAAGGAAGGAAGGAAGGAAGGAAGGAAGGAAGGAAGGAAGGAAGGAAGGAATTTAGCACCGTGGGAGATGCAGAGATGCTGTCGCTGGAGGGTTGATTTACTGCGAGTAACACATTCACTGTGTGTTATTTTCTCCTGACACTGGACACAGGCCTGACCCCAGGGGATTGGTTCTACACATCTGTCAGGTCTGGCCACTTCCTCTCATGCGACAGAGGTGGGGGGGGGGAGTGGTGTGAGGACAGAGAGAGGAGATTCGTGACAGCACACTGTGGGAAGAGGAAAAACTAAGCTCAGAGTACAGACGTGTGAGGTTTCAAGAGAGGAAGAATGAGGTCTTGGGAGAGAGAGAGGGAGGTGTGTCATTAAATGGTCAAATTAGGGCCTGCTGGGTCAGTAATTTCTTCTAGGGCTTGATCTCAGGGCTTGGCAGTCTTGCTTAGCCAATTTGTAACTCAAAGCTGGGTGCTCTACCACTTGGGCCACACATCCACTTCTGGCTTTTTTTTTGCTGGTTCATTGAAGGGTCACAAAGACTTCCCTGCGCAGGTTGGATTCAACCCAACCATCCTCAGATCTCAGCCTCCTGAGTAGCTAGGATGACAACTATGAGCCACTGGTGCCCAGCTTTCTTCTCATTTTTTTCTTTTTCTTTTTCTGTCAGTTGTAGGGCTTGAACCCTGGGCCTGGGCGCTATCTCTCAGTTCTTCAGCTCAAGGCAAGCGCTCTACCACTTGAGCCATTGAACCGCTTCCGGTTTTCTGGTGGTTCACTGGAGATACGAGTCTCACGGAGGTTTCTGCCTGGGCTGACTTGGAACCGTGAGCCTCTCAGATCTCAGCCTCCTGAGTAGCTAGGATGACAGGTTGAGCCACCAGCACCTGGCTCTTTCTTTCTTTCAATGGGAGAATCCTGGTGGTGAGAAACCCAGGTACCTAAGAAGCCAGCAGGGCAGTGCCTGAAATATATCCTCGATATGCTGTCTCCATCCACCCGGAAGACTGACGCTGCCCTCTGATTGCCACAGGTGGTCTACTTCACGGCCTTGCTGCCCTACTGCGTGCTCATCATCTACCTGATCAGAGGCCTCACGCTGCACGGAGCCACCAATGGGCTGCTGTACATGTTCACTCCCAAGGTTTGGGCCTTCCTGTATGTGTACGGCCGCCATCTTGCAGGAGGGGCTGAGAGGAGGGAAAGATGGAGGCCGGTGTGGGCCTCTAGGTTGGGTGATAAAGGAGTATGTTTCACATCGGGGAGGGGTGTTGGGCTACCTCCTTCTAGCTCCTCTTGCTGCCTTCACTGACCCCAGACAGCTCTCTTCTGCTCGGTTCCCTTCTGTCCTCCCTGCTCAAGTCTCCTCCATACCCCAGCCAGACTCTCCTCTCACCTGATCACCACAGGCTCTGGCATTTCTCCCTCACATCCACCTGTCCTTTCCCTCCAGGTCCCTACTGTCTCCTCTCCGGGCCCCTCTGGTTGGGACTCCTTGGGGAGGGGGCCCGGGCTGGCTTTTGAATGAGTAATTCTAGTGCCCAGAAGCAGATGCATGTGGCAGCTTCCCCCAAACGCTACAGCGAAAGCCACCTTCGTTTCAAAGGCTTCCTGAAGCCATTGCTGAAGGAAGCTCAAGCCTTCCTTCCACCCCCTAGGCTGTCTCTACTGGATTTCTGCAGGTTAGATGCCTGCAGGGCTAAGTGGGCAGATCCCAAGCTACCTATGGTACGTCACAGGCTAGGATTCCTCCTAGCCTGAGTAGTTGGTCAGCGGGGAATTCACGAGCACAGGCCAGGGTCGGGAGAGCTGGGCTAGTTCTAGCACCTGTGTGCTAGGATCAGAGACCTCTGCCTCTGGGCCTTGCTTCCTCTGGCTGTGAGACCAAGGGATCCGAGACCAGGGCTCATGGGTCTTGTCTCTGCTGACCTTCTAGCTCGATATGCTGGTCAACCCGAAGACATGGATCAATGCAGCCACACAGATCTTCTACTCTCTGGGCCTGGGGTTTGGTAGCCTCATCGCCTTCGCCAGCTACAACGACCCCACCAACAACTGCCAGAAACACGCCATCATCGTGTCCCTCATCAACAGCTCCACCTCCATCTTCGCCAGCATTGTGACCTTCGCCATCTACGGCTTCAAAGCCACCTTCAACTACGAGGACTGCTTGAACAAGTGAGTGAGGCCATCTTGGCCTTGGGAGTTGGGGTCCCCAAGGTTCTAAGCAGAAAGGAGAAGGTCAGGGATGGGCAGAGGTCACCCAAGCTGGAGTCCTTGAGGGAGGGGGTCTGTCGCAGACTGCCAGCATCAACATGATGAGTCTAGACCAACACAGAATTGACACGAATTAACATCCATTGAAATCACGGGATCTGCCTGTTGGTATGGCAGTTAAATAATGCTACCTCTACATCGAGTTAGTTCCTCGGTGGCTTGAGCCACATTCAAGTCCTCTGTCCCCACAGACGACTAGACAGATGGTGGGACATTTCCACCCTCACACGGCCCCACTGTGTGAGTTTGGTTCCCGTGGTAAACCCCATTTCTATCGGAGATGTCCAGCCAAGTCACCCACAGTCATCTTGTGCTTTAGAAAGGTCACTGACCAGGCTGGGAAGGTGGCTCAGCGGTAGAGTGCTTGCCCAGCATGCTTGAAGCCCCGGGTTCAATTCCTTAGTACCACGTACATGGAGAAAGCTGGAAGTGGCGCTGTGTGGCTCAAGTAGTAGAGTGCTAGCCTTGAATTCAAGCTCCAGAACTGGTACGATAGATAGATAGATAGATAGATAGCCCTAGAGCCTGGCACTAGCAGCTCACGCCTGTAATCCTAGCTACTTAGGAGGCTGAGATCTGAGGATCATGGTTCAGAGCCAGTCTAGGCAGGAGAAAGTCTGTGAGATCCTTGACTCTTAAGTTCAATTAACCAGCAAATGGCTGGGAATGTGGCTTAGTGGTAGAGTGCTTGCCTAGCATGCATGAAGCCCTGGGTTCCATTCCCCAGTACCATGGACACAGAAAAAGCTGGAAGTGGTGCTGTTGGCTCAAGTGGTCGAGCACTAGCCTTGAGCAACAGAAGCTCAGGGACAGTGCCCAGGCCCTGAGTTCAAGCCCCTGGACTGGCAAAAAAAAAAGTTCACCAGCCCACAGATTCCCTGATTCACATAGGCAGGAAGGAAGAGGGGTCAGCCTTGAACTTGAGCTACTGCCTTTCCCTTCAGTGATCACACTGACGGTCTCTAATGCAGGGTGATTCTACTGCTGACCAATTCTTTTGAACTCGAAGATGGCTCTGTAACAGCCAGCAACCTAGAACAAGTCAAGGACTACCTAGCCTCCACTTACCCAAGCCAATACAGCCAAGTGTTCTCCCAGATTAAGAACTGCAGCTTGGAATCAGAGCTGGACACGGTAAGGCCCTGGGAAAATCCGAGTGGCTTCTGTCTGTGAGAATCGGGAAACTGAATTCTCCCCCCCTGCAAATGAGAAACAAGAGATTCAACTGCCTCATTTGACTCCTTCTTTGGAGTTCTTTCCTTCCTTTCTCTCTTTCCCAGCTTTTCAAAAGAGGAGAAAGTCCTAACAGGCTTCATTTGTTATGTGATTGGAACAGAATGTACTAAGCACCCAGTGCTCCCTGTCAGGATGCATTTTCTTGGAAATACTTTGTCACTTGGGGTTTGGAATTTGTTTTCCTTTTGCAACTTGTAGTACCATTGTGCTATTTCCATAACGGGTGATCAAAATCACCCTTCTACGGCTTTCTTCGTGGATTTATTGGCCAGTCGTGCATCTTTTGAGAACTATATGTACAAGCCTATTTGTTGATGACATTTTTGATTCCTTTTGAGTTTTCAGTGAAGCTTGCTATAGCTCTTGGATATTGTCATATATTCTGGATATTAATGTTTTCTCTGGTGAAACCTGGATATTGTATTCGATATGGGGTGATTGGATAATATTATTGATTATAGGGTATTATAAGAACAAAGCTTGACTTCGAAGCTATAGATATAGTGGAAACATCATAGCACTAGCATAAAAAGTCACATAGACCAATCTAGGTGGGTGCTGGTGGCTCATGCCTGTCAATCTGGCTACTCAGGAGGCTGAGATTGGAGGATTGAGGTTCAAAGTCAGCCCCTGCAGGAAAGTCTGTGAGTCTCTTATCTCTCACGAACCCACCAGAAAACCAGAAGTGGTGGTGTGGCTCGAAGTGGTAGAGCTCAGGGAGAGTGCCCAGGCCCAGAGTTCAAGTCCCAGGATGGGAAAAAATAATTAATGAATAATTAATGAAGCTGGGAAAGCTGCGGTTACAGGACACCTAGTCATTCACAGTATTGGAAGAAGAATGCATCCTAACAGCATTTTATTATGTTTTCATTGGGAATGTATGTCATCTGGGGCATGAGAGGTCATGGAAAATGACAGAGTCCTCTATACATTTTCACTGCATGAATTCTACACAGCACCCATTTCTTTTCTTTTTTGGTCAGCTGTGGGGCTTGAGCTTGGAGCCTGGGCGCTGTCCCTGAGCTCTTCACCTCAAGCCGAGCATTCTACCACTTGAGCCACAGCACCACTTCTGGTTTTCTGGTGGTGCATTGAGGGTAAGAGTCTCATGGACTTTCCTGCCCAGGCTGGCTTTGAACCGTGATCCTCTAGATCTCAGCCTCCTGAGGAGCTAGGATGACAGGTGTGAGCCACCGGTGCCTGGCCACAGCTCCCATTTGTAATCGGTCCTGTTGAGCAGGGCAGGTAGAAGGTACAGGCCAGAATGTGGCTGTTCACAGCCATTTCCAAGGTCCTCTACAAGATGCTTAGCACCGGATGCATTAGATCACTGGTCTCTTGGGTGCATAACGGGTCTCTTCCTCGCCACGAGCAGGCTGTCCAGGGCACGGGCCTGGCCTTCATCGTCTATACGGAGGCCATTAAAAACATGGAGGTGTCCCAGCTGTGGTCGGTGCTGTACTTCTTCATGCTGTTGATGCTGGGCGTGGGGAGCATGCTGGGAAACACCACCGCCATCCTCACCCCTCTGACAGACAGTAAGCTCATTTCCAGATACCTGCCCAAGGAGGTCATCTCAGGTGAGAGTCGGGCAGCCGGCAGAGGGGAATCCGGAAGTGATGCTGTGGCTCAAGGGGTAGAGCACTAGCTTTGAGCTGAAGAGCTGAGGGACAGCGCCCAGGCCCAGAGTTCAAGCCCCACAACCAACCAAAAAAAAAAGAGAGAGAGAGAAAGAAAGAAAGAAAGAAAGAAAGAAAGAAAGAAAGAAAGAAAGAAAGAAAGAAAGAAAGGAAGGAAGGAAGGAAGGAAGGAAAGAAAGGAAGAGAAAGAAAGAAAGAAAGAAAGAAAGAAAGAAAGGAAGGAAGGAAGGAAGGAAGGAAAGAAAGAAAGAAAGGAAGGAAGGAAGGAAGTGGCTGGGAAGGTGGCTCAGTGGTAGAGTGCTTGCTTTGCATTCCTGAGGCCCTGGGTTCAATTCCTCAGCACCACATAAGCAGAAAAAGCTGGAAGTGGCACTGTGGCTCAAGTGGTAGAGCGCTAGCCTTGAGCTGAAGAGCTGAGGGGCAGTGCCCAGGCCCAGAGTTCAAGCCCCACGACTGAAAAAAGAAAGATAAAAAGAAGGAGAGAAGAAAGAGAGAGAGAGAGAAAGGGAGAAAGAGAAAGAAAGGAAAAAAGAAAGGAGAGAGAAAAGAAAGAAAGTGAAAGAGAGATAAAGGAAGGACAGAAGAGAAAAAGAAAAAGACAGAAAGGAAGAAAGGGAGAGAAAGAAAGAAAGGAGGGAAGAGAGAAAAGAAAGAGAGAGATAAAGGAAGGACAGAAAAGAGAAGAAAAAGAGAAAGAGAAAGAAAGGAAGAGAAAAGAAGAAAGAGAAAAGGAAGAAAGAGACTAAAAGAGAGAAAGGAACAAGGAAGGAAGGAGGGAGGGAAGGAAGGAAGGAAGGGAGGAAGGAGAGAGGGAGGGAGGGAGGAAGGGAGGGAGGGAAGGAGGGAGGGAGGGAGGGAGGAGGAGAAGCAGGAGGAGCAGGGGCTGAGCAGATGGTCTCGTGCCCCAGGTCTGCTGTGCCTCAGCAGCTGCGCCATTGGCCTGGTGTTCACCATGGAGGCGGGGAGCTACTGGTTTGACATCTTCAATGACTACTCGGCCACGCTGTCCGTGCTGCTCGTGGTCCTGGTGGAGATCATCGCCGTGTGCTACGTGTACGGGCTGAGGAGGTGAGCAGGCGGGCCGCGGTCCTCTCCCCCCCCCCCAACTCCACACGGATAGCACTCATCCTCAACTTGCAGCTTAATGCTGCTCTCCAAGTTCCTTCCCTGTCCTCAGATCTCAGTGAATCACCTTCCCTCTGCCTCAGTGTGTATGTGAATAGCTCCTTCCTCTATTTCTTGTATTTGTTTTTCCCCCTTTGCATCACGGGGAGGCACCCTGAACCCCGTGGATTTCTGGGCCTGAGGTATCGCCCGTGATCAGAGCCTTACAGGGCACACCAGTCCATCAAAGGGCTGTGGTGGGAAGCGATGGATTTCTAGGTGCTGGTTGATTTCCCATAGTAGCCTGGAGAGGGTTTTCCCGGCTTGCTTGTGGGGGGACACCGCCATCTCGTGGCCATTCAGGGTATTGCAGGAAGTCCATCGGGGCCACCAGACCTCTCCATGTCACAGTCAGGTGTAGCAAAGCCCGGGTGGGAACAGCAGCCAGGGAGGGAACTGAGCTCTGCTCTGGTGGCTCTCTCCCAGCTCCACGCTGCAGGCCTTCCCCCAAAGGCCAGCCCACCACGAGATGCCCCCATGTCCCTCATGGGTAGAACGCCACAGCCATCCTCTCCTTCCTACCCCAATGCCATCCCCCAGAAGGGATCGAAGAGGGGCACTCGGGAATTGGGAGAGAGGGTTCTCTATCCCAGGAGTGGCACCCGGGATAGAATTTTCCTGGGTGCAGGGGACCCTGCACCCCCTGACTTCTTGCTACATGAACAATGCAGAGATCTTCTCTCCACATGGTCCCAATAGATTCGAAAGGGACCTTCAGGCCACAACGGGTCGCACGCTCAACTGGTACTGGAAGATCATGTGGGCCTGTGTGAGCCCGCTGATCATCGTCAGCCTCTTCCTCTTCTACCTGAGTGACTACATCCTCACAGGGACTCTCCAGTACCAAGCCTGGGATGCCACACAGGTACCACAAGGCCCCTGCAGAGCCTCCCTGTGGCCCTTTCCCCACACAGTGTCCCCACAGAAGTCCCCCCTCAGCCCCGGCCCCACACACCAGGGGTTCCACATCGGACAGAAGGACACACAAAGCTACTCAGGAGGCTGAGATCTGAGGATCAGGGTTCAAAGCCAGCCCAGGCAGGAAAGTCCATGAGACTCTGATCTCCAGTGAACCACCAGAAAACCAGAAGTAGCACTGTGGCTCAAGTGGTAGAGCGCCAGCCTTGAGCTGAAAAGTTGAGGGACGGTGCCCAGGCCCAGAGTTCAGGCCCCACGACTAACAAGGAAAAACAAAAAAAGGACCCCCAGAGCCTTCCACAGAAAGTTCTGCTGTGGCTCATACCCACAGGGCTAGCCACTTAGGAGGCTGAGATTGGAGGATTCCATTTCAAAGCCAGCCTGGAGAATCTATGCTGCTCTTATCTCCAAAAAAAAAGAAAAGAAAAAAAGAAGCTAAAAGTGGATGGAGCTGGGGCTCAAGTGGTAGAATGGTAACCTTGAGCACAATAAACTCAAGGACAGAGCCCAGACCCTGAGTTCAATCCCCATGACAGATAGAGAGACAGACACACAGACCAAGAAAGTTCTGTTCTAGACAGAGCAGCCCTGTGCTCAGGTATCCGAGCTGATCTTCATAGGTGGCTCTGCTCACCAGCTCCACACCCAGGGTGACCTAGGTACAGCTCCACAAGCCTGTTCCCTGTCCAGCTAGCCGGAGGGGAGGGATGGGCAGTCATGATGGAAGGATGGGAAGGAAGGTTCCACCCTCCTGGTCATGCTCTGTCTCTCCTTCTAGGGACGGCTGGTGACGAAGGATTACCCTCCCCACGCATTGGCCATCATCGGGCTGCTGGTGGCCTCTTCCACCATGTGTATCCCACTGGTGGCCTTGGGGACGTTCATCAAGCGCCGACTCAAGAGCAGAGGCCCAGTCCCCATGGCCTGAGATCCAAACCACCCCCCCCCTCATCTCCTTGCCCTCCCTGGAGATCAGAGTCGGCAGCCACTTGCCTTGGTTATTTGTTATTGTTGGGGGTGGTCATGGGGCTTGAACTCTGGGCCTGGGTGCCATCCCTGAGCTCTTCAGCTCGAGGCGAGCAGTTTACCACTTTGAGCCACAGCGCCACTTTTGGTTTTTTTTTTTTTCTGGTGGTTCATTGGAGATAAGAGTCTCACAGTCTTTCCTGCCCAGGCTGGTTTTGAACCACAGTCCTCTGATCTTAACCTCCTTAGTAGCTAGGATGACAGGCGTGAGCCACCAGCACCTGGCTTTTTTTTTTTCCTTTTTAAGCACTTAATTCCAAAGTCCTAGGCCTGCCAGCCTCCTCAGTCATAAAGAAAGACAAAAAAGGTGTGGAAGAGAATGACCCCTTCTGGAAAAAAAACCCACGCACCTCGGAAACACGCCGCTCCAGCCCCCTGCTGGCCAAAGATCACACGAGCGACTTCCAGATTCTTGAGGGCCAATCTTGAAGATAAAAGTTTCCTCAATTCTAGAAAGAAAAAGGAAAAAAAAAAATCCGAGACTTAAGGTGCACTGTGAGCTGAAATTGGACGATCATCCTCACCATGCAAAACTTAAGTGATCTGGTATTTTGCTGGAGGAAACACCAAGATGTTACAAGACAATCTTATTTTATTTTAATTTTTGGTTGGCTGTGGGGCTTGAACTCTGGGCCTGGGCACTGTCCCTCAATTCTTCAGCTTAAGATGAGTGCTGTACCCCTTGAGCCACAGCACTACTTCTGGTTTTCCAGTGGTTCACTGGAGATCAGAGTCTCACAGACTTTCCTGCTCTGGCTGGCTTTGAACCACAATCCTCAGATCTCAGCCTCCTGAGTAGCTAGGATGACAGGTGTGAGCCACCAGAGCCCAGCTAGAAGGCAATCGTTTTGAGATCAGTGTGGGGAGGTATTGAAGTATCCCAGGTAACTTATGGCTGGGGTCCAGCTCATTGTCTTTTTTTAATTTTTTTTAAGTGACAGTCAATGTGCAATTTCCCCGTCTACCTCCTAAACGCTTTCAGCCATGAAGAAAGACTTTCCTTTAGGATTCCCGAAGAAGTCAGCTTTCTCTAGTTTAAATTCACTGGGACCAATGTTCTCTATAAAAATCGCCCTAGCTAAGGGTGTTCAAAGCCACAGGAGGAATCACACAGCTCTTCCCCCTTCTCCTCCCATCCATGGGAGGTGCCAGAAACTTCTGTGAGAGTTGACAAGACTGGAAGCAAACTACCCCCCCCCCCGCCTCAACTTCCTGCTGATATTTGGATGTGGTGGTCAGCGAACGTCCCTTTGAAACCAACTTGTAATTATTTATCTGTGCATAGGAGAGTTTTCTAAAAATGTACATAAATCAGACAGAGCTGAAGATATATTTATGATTATAAGCATTAACCCATCAGAGAATGTGTGTCTGGTTTTTGTTTTTAACTGCTGAAAAAAATAAATCCATCCCAGCCATCCCAGGGAGACCATGTGGACTCAGGCACGTTCAGAAGAGGAAGGAGGTTTTATTAGTGGGGCCATCTTGCCCATAGGAGAAGAGAATATGGCGTCTGCCCCTATCGAGGTGGTAACTCATAACTCAGGCTATAGGTAGAGAAGGTATTCTGCGTGTGCAGTTAGGTTTGGGTAGGGAGTAAGAGTCCGGAACGCTAGGGCAGGGAGGAGCTCAGGTCTGGGGGGAAAGGTAGGAGTGGCTGAGGACCTGAGGTGGGGATCATGCTAACATTCCCCCCTTTATTGTTTAGTAATCATAACTAGGGGTACCAGGCTGGGAGTCTGGGCATAGGTCGTTTCTTTTGGTGCTGTAAAGGAGCAAAGTAGTCCGGGGTTCCCTGATTAGTGTTTGGCTGGGTACCATCCAAGAAGTCTTTGCTTGACTGGTTGGTAAAGATCTCATCTTTTCCGTGAGAATACGCATCTAAAATGCAATGTATAATTAGTAAAAGGCAAACATTTATTGTTAGCAGGCCCAAGAGAGAGATAAGTCAGGGAGGGATTGATTCCCAGAAGGGTCTATCAAAGAGCTGAGATTGGGCTGGGCATCACTGGCTCACACCTGTCATCCTAGCTACTCAAGGAGGCTGAGATCTGAGGATCACAGTTCAAAGCCAGCCCCAGCAGGAACGTCCGTGAGACTCCTATCTCCAATAAACCACTCAGAAAACCGGAAGTGGCGCTGTGGCTCAAGTGGTAGAGCCCTTGCCTTGAGCCGAAGAGCTGAGAGACAGCGTCCAGGCCCAGAGTTCAAGCCCCATGACCAAAGGGAGGGGAAAAAAAAATCTGAGATTGCCTTCCTCATCTTGGATTGGAAACAACATGGTACCTGACTCCCCATATCTTGGAGGGGAGGAGTAAGACATTTCCGGCTTTATCTTAGGAGAGGGAGGAGAGGGAGGAGGAGGAGGAGGAGCAGGAGGAGGAGGAAGAGGAGGAGCAGGAGGAGGAGGAAGAGGAGGACGAGGAGGAGGAGTTAGCAGAGATGTTTAAAGGTACCAGAGCCAATGATTCTCTTTTGGCTACTTCCTGCTGGCTCGGGGCATTGAGGAATCACTGGATCTGGGGTCTTTAGGGTCTGGGTCTGTGCTGGGCAAAGCAGGGCCGTATAAAGTGAAGTCTCGGGTTGCCTGTAGTAACAGAATGGCTGTTATCCTGTTGAAAGGAAACCTTGGAGAGGCATGATCAGGCAAAAGGTTGAGTCTTTCCAGGGCTGCTACACCAGCTAGGGGCTGCTCTTGTCGATTGCTGTCTAGTGCTTTTGTGTTCAACTTCAGACCATTTTTTGTTGTTTTTCGTGTGTGTGTGTTTCTGTGTATTTCCCAGTGCAGCTGTGGAGCTCATTTCCTTTGTTTCTGCATGTATATGTATTTGTTTATTATTTTATTTCTTGGTTGGTTGTGGGGCTTGAACTCTGGGCCTGGGTGCTATCCCTCAGCAGTTCAGCTCAAGGGCGAGTGCTCAACCACTTGAGCCACAGCGCCACTTCTGGTTTTCTGGTGGTTCCTAGGGGGTAAGAGTCTCACGGACTTTCCTGCCCGGGCTGGCTTTGAACTGTGATCCTCAGATCTCAGCCTCCTGAGTAGCTAGGATGACAGGTGGGAGCCACTGGCACCCGATGCTGCATGTATTTATATTTGATGGCTGAGGATCAGTCAAGTTCCTCTTATGGCACTACCCCATTCCAGCCATCCCTGGTTCCCTCGTCTTTCTAACCCCTGACCAGTGGCGGCCTGGAAATCCTGGGTCCTTGGGTGCTAAACTTTGGTGAGTGTTCCCAGGCCTAGGCGCGCCCAGAGGCTTTGGCTCTTCCTGCCCCTTCCTTTGGGCAGCCTGGGCTGGGATTCAGGGTGTATGTCACTTGGCTGACCCTTGTTGGTGGCTGTGGGTCTCTAACTTCAGCTATGCCTTCCCCCCCATCCTTGCTGCGAGACACTCCGGATGAGGGCAGGTGGGGGACATGGGACCCCCCAGCCGACCCCCCTCCTTCTCCTTTTCTCCCTGAAGCCATGCGGGCAGGTGGAGCTGGTGGCCAGGGAGGAGCTGGGGTTCAGTGCTGTCCCCCGTGGCTGGCTGGGGTGCCATCCTGCAGGGGGAGGTGAGTGGGGTCTGGGTGGGGTCCCCCAACTCCTGGGACCTGGTCCCTGATGGCCATGATCATCCACCATGCTCCTTGGGTTTGGGGCGCTGACACCCTACTCACAGATGTCTTCCCCCATTTCCCTCACCCCGCCTCGGCCCTGGCACCCCAAACTACCCACACCTCAGGCAACCTCAGCCACTCCAAGGAGCCTCCATTTGTTCCCAGAATGGAGTGACCATGACCTTTCTCAAGCTCAACAACCCAAGATGGAAAGGGGGGCAGCTCCAAGAGCTGGGTGATGTGATAATCAGCAATCACCAGGAGTGGACTGACTGCAATTGTTGGTCATTGTGGAGCTTGAACTCAGGGCCTGGGCACTGTCCCTGGGGGGGCTTCTTTATGCGCAAGGCTAGCACCCTACCACTTGAACCACAGAACCACTTCTGGTTTTGGAGTGGCTCATTGGAGCTACAAGTCTCATGGGGACGTTTCTGCCCAGGCTGGCTTGGAACCGTAATCCTCAGATCTCAGCCTCCTGAGTAGCTAGGATGACAGGCGTGAGCCACTAGAGGAGCATCATGGAGTATACCCTGAAGGAGTATAAAACGTTGAGGGACGAAGTGGTCTTTTCTGGCTATTTTCTGCTGGCATGAGGGTACTGGGGAGTCACGGGGGCTGGGGTCTTCAGGCTCTCCAGGTCCATGCTGGGCAGGGCGGTGTAAGGAACTCCTCCGGTTGCCTGCAGTAATGGCCTTGATGTGCTCCCAGTCGGTGTCCCGAGCAAGGGCTGTAATCCTGTTAGGAGAGAAACTTGTAAAAAGTGAGATCAGGCAAAAGGCTGACAAGGCGGCAAGAACTAGGTGAAATGAATGACACAGGAAAACACACCTGGGCACAAGGCAGAAAAGGTCCCTTTGGAGCAGAAGCCCCATTTTAGCCCATTACAGGGACGGAGGTATTTCCAGGTAACTGGACTAGAGATGTCTGGACTGTATAGTATGGATGCGGAAGTCGAAAATGGCAGGTGACAGAGGCAAGACTCTAAGTTCCTGTCCAGTTGGAAGGTAGGTAGACAGGTATTGGATAAGCAAGTTTATTAACTATTTCTTCTGGTCTCCCAACTCTGGTTAATTTTGGAAGGTCCCCAACAAATCGTGTGTGTGTGTGTGCGTGTGCAAGTCCTGGGACTTGAACTCAGGGCCTGGGAACTGTCCCTGATTTTCTTTTGTTTTTTTTTTTTTTTTTTGTCGGACATGGGGCTTGAACTCTGGGCCTGGGCACTGTCCCTCAGCTCTTCAGCTCAAGGCGAGCGCTCTACCACTTGAGCTACAGCGTCACTTCCTGTCCCTGATTTTCTTTTGTTCCTGATTTTAGGAGGATTGGTTGTAGCTTTTCCCCATTCAGTATAATATTGGCTATTGGTCTGTCATAAATGGCTTTTATTGTTTTTAGAAATGTTCCTTCTATTCCTATTTTCTCCAGAGCTTTTAGCATGAATGAATGTTGAATTTTATCAAAGGCCTTTTCTGCATCTGTGGCGATAATCATGTGATTC